GATAGCTTCCCTCTTTTACCACGCATAGACTTCCGCAAAGCCCGAAACCCGACCCTTTTGAGGGTCGAGTCGGGTCGGGTTTCGAGCTTTGCGGAAGTCTGATCGGGGGTCAATAGCTCCGTGTTACGGACCTACCCGTCACCAATCAGTGGTGCCCCACCGGGTACACAGATGGGCCACCAAGAGCCAATAGATCTATCTGTCAGTAGATCACGTGCAACACTGTATACACTGGCGTTCCCAGGTATCGAAGGAAAAGGAAGTCCCGATCATGCTCACTGAGCAAGAGCATGATCCACCCTGAGTTGGACTAAAGTCTGGTGTGTATGTACCTCGATACATCAGCAACACCCTTTGGGACAACAAGGGCATCACGTGACCATGACCCCAGCAGTGACTCCAGGGGAGTCACCCAGGGAGTAGGAAGCGAAGAAATCTGAAACGTTTGGTGCTTCAAAGGTGGCACCATTGAGGCATTTGTACCTATCTCATGGTGGCACCACACATCTCGACAGATATATAAGGACACTCTTTCATGTACTTAGTTTAGTTCTTCGTCTTCAATTTTCATACATTGTTACTTGTGTTTACCTTTGGAACCATGTTGACTCGTTAACTATATTATCACTTGACAACACCTACGAGCAGACCAATACTGCGGTATAGATCTACTCGGCGCTCTACCTGGCATCGTTCCTCGATACCCTCAAAAGGACTTAGGCTGGAATAAGACTGTGCGCAGCAACAGCTCGGTTGAGAGGCAGATCGTTGACGTTGGAGGATCAGCACAGGCAAGTATAATCAGGGAAGCTTCCAACATAACTGTGACCAGTTAGGCAGTGCGTAACATAAGGCTTAGAGAGAGGAGACGAAAAGTTCAGTTACGTATTACCCATTGTGTAATCCTCACTTGCATACAGCGAACCCCCGGGTCCTTCCTTGGCATGTGACTGGGCGGAGGACTCCTTTGAGTGTGTGGGGGATGCCTCCCTCGCCTTCCGCAGAAGATAGACAAGCATGCCAAGAACGTGGTCAAACTTGCCAGCAACAGCTCCAACCGAAACCGCGGACCACTATTCGAGAATTAGAAGAAGGTAGTTAGCTAGAAGATAAGCAAACTAACCCTTGACTTTTCGTCAATTTTGAGAAAGAAGAAAAATTGCGCGTCCGCCGTCACGCCGTACACTGTGCAGTTCTTTTTCTTCTCCCGTCGTCTGAGTCGGTGGACCGTGCCTTCAAATCAGTTAAAATCTATCTAGTGAGTGCGACATCGGTAATTTTATGAGGTACTGACCCATGTAGGCAAGGCATTGGGGAATTCCTTTGCTAGCAGAGTTTTGAGACTTTGCTTCGACAACGACGACTTTTACTGCTGTGTCGTTGACATTACCATACCAGACTGCATAGTCTGGTCTGCCGACGAGCGTAAACTTCTTCTTATCGTATTTGACCGGTTCAAACACCCAGTGTCTTTCTGTCTGTATGCCAATATTTTGTCCGACTTTGGGCTGGCGGAAGGTGGCGATGTCATGGGCGTAGACAAGCAGTAAATCAAGCGTCCAACGAATGCTGGCTTCATTAAGTGGACTTTTGGAACGAGCGGCATCAACTTTCGTTAGGACACTCTTAAGCTCGGTCGGGGTCAGAATAGAAGGGACATGCGCAAGCTCATCGTCTTCTTGTGTTGCTTTTAGATGAAGTATCTCCTCGACTTGCTTAGTATCAAGGTCACCGACGGTGAGGGTTGGAAGCTTCTGAGTCTTCTTTCGTGAGCCACCATACTTTTCTCTAAGTTCGTCTTGAGTCAGGCGACCATCAAGGAAGTCTTGGGTCATGGCCAACACCTCCTTAAGTTCATTGTGCTGAGCCTTGAAAATGAGGTCGAAGACCCTTTGTCGAAGGTTGAATCTTGACGGCATGATGGTTTGACTTGGAGGGTTAGATGAATGGGAAATAATGAGGGTTTAAGAGGAACAAGGGTTTACAAGGAGAAGAATTCTAGAAGATGTCTAGGTAAATTTGAAGCTGAATTGTCCCCGATACCTGAATAGGCAAGTCCCAATTAGGCTTAGTAGCTCCATCTTTGAACAACGTATTTCACGGGCGAGCCGGCCACCCACCTAATTGTATTAATTTAAAATTTAAATATCTCGACCAAAACTCCATTAAATTAGATACACCAAAATGATCTATCTACAGGGCATCTATTAAATCTATACCCGGTTTCTCTGCACCCACTACACCTTGGTGTAGCCCGTATACGTGGTTCTAAAGCCGGTGCTTTATGTATACCGGTATCGTGGGGAGGTGCTCTATCTGCTCTCACTGGCCCAGAAATCAACTGAGAGGCTTCTTGAACTGAGAGGCTTCTTGAACTGAGAGGCTTCTTGAAATGAGAGGCTTCTTGAACTGAGAGGCTTCTTGAACTGAGAGGCTTCTTGAACTGAGAGGCTTCTTGAACCGAGAGGCTTTTTTTAGTAGGGATCTGCCTTGGAGATCGAGTACGCTTTTGCTTCTGCTTCTCATTGGCGGCGCGTAATTCCTTGACTTCTTAGGCGAGTAAGATAGCACCTTGCTGTCACGGTGCGAACCGTGATGCTTAGTTAGAGGAAGATCACGGCACGTGATCTCTGACCTGTTTATCTGAACTTCAGTTCTAGATCCTGTTGTAGCTCTTCGAGCTACGTCTTGTATAATAGCCTGCCCCTGCCTGCCCCTGTCAATGGGAATCTGATCTGTTATGACCTGTTCCTACCAGTCATCTCCTATCATACCGTCCTGCCAGCCCGCACCCTGACATGGCCAGCTCGCTTACCTAATAAGTTAGGGCTTAACTAATAACCTAATAGCCGTTTTAGGTGTAATTTATTTTTACTACTTCCTACTAGTATTATCTACCTTCTGCTAGAAGCAACCCTAATACTACTAGGAGCGACTAGTAAAATACCACCTGACAACCTGGTAACCTGACGACCCCCCTACTCGGCAGTTGGCTGGTAGGTGGGTGGTAGGTAGGTGGGTTGAAGAGAAGAGAATTGGTAGTAGCAAAAGTACTATATAGGACTATTACACACTAGTGTACTTTCTAAAAAACCCAAAAAATTGAGTGGGCAGAAATTAATGGCACCAACCTCCGTGCTGATGATCTTATAATTTGAGTAGAATTTCATGCTAATGTTTAGTAATCTTCTCCCAAAGCATAATCTGAGGGAAGAGAAGAAAAAAATTCAAAAATAAAGCAGCGACCGCGGATCGAACGCGGGACAACAAGATTTGCAATCTTGCATTCTACCACTGAATTACCGCTGCAATTGGTGAAATTACAACCAGTTGAACACACTTCGTACTCCAAATGTTTGAAGGGAGCTGCTGGTTTAGTTCCTCTTTATCCAGATCGAGTGTAATCTAAGCTCAATATTCAACTTCGAACTCCGACTCCCCCATCCAGTCGAGGTAGTGAGTGGGAGCCAAAAACACCAACAAATCACATTCAATTATTGAAACAAGCATCCTCAATCAAAGCATTACTTCGTCAAAGATCCCGAAGCCCGCAAGTCCCCTCAATTCAGCGATAAACCAGGTTTTCAAAGCTTGCCAAATGACGATGCAACCAGCAGCGATTCTTGAGAAAGAAGTTCACGATCTACGATCGGAACACGAGAAAAAGAAGCAGAAAAAAACTCGATCTCGAAAGCAGATACCTGCTACAGAGGGCTTATCAGTTCAGGAAGCTACTGCTTTAATTGTGCAGCCAGAGGAAGTGATTGAACCTCCCCGCCTGTGA